GGGGCAGGGGCAGTGAGGTGGTGATACTCAGGAATGGCCGCTGGGACTCCGAGACCTGTTGGGTGTGGGGAGTGAGAGTGAGTCCAGGGGGCCCCCAGGTGGAGGTTGAGGGGATGTCCTCATGGATGGGACTCCCAAGAGAAGGGTGGACTCAGCCTGCCGGAGACTTCCCACCCACTTCCGTTTCCCCTGAGCCGTTCTCTCCAGCTACTGTCCCTGAGGGGTCCTGGGCCAGGGCAAGGCAGGGGCCGATGTCCCTCTAGCTTTCCAAGCCTTTGTAACCTCCCTACCTCTCCTTCCCCACCAAACCCTGGGTCACAGCTCTGTCCTCACTGGCGTGCATGGCGGAAAAGCCCAGTCATTCCTGATGCTTCTCAGTAACCCCGAGGCAGCAGTTGTCACTCCTCGTCAAGCAAACGAGGACACTGAGGCGGAGAACTTCCCTCAAGGACCCCTGTGCCCATACCAGCCAGTCGGGTGGGGCTTCGGCCTTGACACCCGCTGACAGCGCCAGGCAGAGGGAGTGCCCTGAATCGATACCAGCAGGGTCTACGTTAGAGGAGTTTACTCCTGGCTTTGCATCCCTGGTCTGCCGGGCAGCCCCACTGTCACAGGAAGCCTGGTCCCTGCCTCTACCATGGGGCCAACTGCTTCCTCCATCTTGGGTTTTATCTGGCTCCCCCAAGGCCCACAGTGGCCTCTCAGAGCAAGCGTCCTCTCCAGGGTCATGTTGCCACTGGCTCGACCTCTGGGCCAGGAACAGGCGTGGGAGGGGGCTCCCAGGGCCTAGGTAGCCCCTTAGGGCAGCCCAGAGGGGTTGAGATGTGAGAGGAGATCTGGATGTTGGCCCGGGTGGCCCTGGCTGCTGACCATATGGCTCAGTTAGTGGGTGCTGGATGTGCCCCGAGAGCTGCACCGGGTGCTGAAGTCCCTGAGATCAAATGGCACAGAGCAAGAGTGTTGGAGACAGGTCGACCTCCAGGGTGCACAGGCTGGGTTTTAGGCCCCAGGCCTGGCCACGTCTCATCGAGCAGTGGGTGAGCAGTGGGCGTGGCTTTCCAGGTCAGTAAGTCTCATAGGACCAAGAAAAGTAAAACATTTAAAAAAAAAAAAAAAAACCTGAAACATCCTCACAGCATATCCCCAAGTGAAACTTGTCCCTGTTTCCTGCCCAGCCTGCCCAAGACCACAGCAACTCTGACCTGAAGTTGAGGGGTTTACTAAGCCCCAGTGGTCTGGACCTTCAGTCAAGAGCTCTTTGGTGGTACAGCTGGGAGCAATGAGTTTTTCCTTAGAAACTGTGTGTTCACACGCACACACACACACATGCACACACAAACACACATGGACCCCAACGCATTCTTTTAAGGGTTTCAAGGAACCCCTTAGGGTCCTTTCAAAAGTTCCAAGTGAACCCCTGCCTTGCCTGGGAGACATCTTGGCGTGATGGGTTTGCCAGATGTTGGAGTCAGATAATCTGAGCTTTGATCTTGACCTGTCCTAGAAGCTGGTGACCTTGGACATGCCACTGAGTTTTCCTGGCCCCCACTTTCTCACGCCTAAACTGGAAATATAATACAACACATCTCACAGGGCAGTTGTGGAAACACAAGGGACAAATTATATAAAGAATTTGGCATCATGCCTAGTACATAGTAAGTGCTCAGTAAATGGTTATAAGAAAAGAAATAGAGAATTGTCACTTCCACTAGGCAGCCTGTGTGTCTGTAGGGGAAGACTGGGAGTTAGGAGGGATGGCCCTAGCCCTGCTGTTGGTGAATCCTGTCACATCTCTCAGGAGATTCTCTTCATCAGTATAATGGGGACAGTGACACTTCTTATTAGCCATGTCCCCCACCCGTGCGGCAATGTGTCACACTGTGGTG